AAGCGCACTAAACACTTGGTGGCAACTTGGCCGGACTTCCGAGACAACACTAGGAGGATTCTGGAAGCAACTCGGGCATTATTTTCAGGAAGAAATACTCTACTTTTGATACGTAGCCATGTATTTACCAAACTACGCACTGTACGGGACTAGACTTGATTGAAATTTGTGACTGGGTTTGGCGGTGCTTTCCAATACAAACATCAAGTATAAAGGATTTGTATTGACCCGGAAAAAAATCGATCGAGTTTTCTGGTACATGTTGCTGAACTGAGCAAGCCCAGCATCGCTACCACGCCAATGAAGACACTAGTCAGCTGACAGCCTCAACTTCGAGTATAGACCTCTCCACACTGTCAAACACCACTCTTCTATACAAATTCAAGATAGTGCTTGTCTCCATTGAATCTTATCAACCGCGTCAGCTTAACCTTATTTGAGCAGCTTACTACAGTGAAGTGCGTCGATAAGGAACGGGCGACATTTTATATTCTACGACAAGACATGAATCCTCGCTTGTACCCATTGTGTGCCAATTGTACTGAATTAGTTATATGATTCTACCAATCATTCGGTCCCGTTTAACATTCCGCCAATCACAGTTCCGAAACCGAGCCTCAAGAGCGGCTGGATGGAGCGGCTCCCAAGTCGGGGAAATGGAACCTAAAGGTCGCGAGAGGGAATCATGAGCATGAGGATCGCTGTGAGCGCGGGAATCGCGCCAGGTACATGTCTGCATGCCTCATTAACCAACTTTCGCTCTGCTGCTCACAACTCCCATGGTGACCGCCACTTCCAGACCGTTCGAGAGCCGGCTACGTCTGACCAAGCTTCAGTCGCTGCTAATCTGTCATCGCCGTCGTGATCTACCGGGTGCTACCTATGCTGAGTTGGCTGCGTGGGCTCAAGCCGAGACTCTGGTCGCGAAGTCCGACATGAACTACATAGTGCAGTAAATCAGTGCATTTGCTGTCTGCATGTGACGAGTCAAACCTTTAATTATCAATATACCTTTTTCTTTCAATGTATATCAGGCGTTCCTTATCGACGCACTTTACTGTACCGGTAGGCGTTATTCGAGCTGTTCAATGGAGTTAGTTCATTTATTACGCTTGAAACAGCTCTCCACGAGTTTGTTACCAATCTTACCGATAGCTTACCGGGTGCGGCTATAATTTTGACCCGACCCAAAGTCGGTTTTTCGTCCATTGCAAAAAAACGGTTACAGCTTTTTCGATTCTGATTGTTGCATCTGTTTTCTATCGATTTTAGACGAATCATAAGCAGCGGTTTGGCGCCGAAAGCACAATCATTGGTTTAAAAAAATAATTTTTGGGGTGCGGTTATAATTTCGGCGCGCACTGTATATCACGTAGATGCGGTACCGTGTTTCTGGTACAAAACTGAGGGAAGAAAAATCCAACCGGCCATTTCCACATTTCCCCTCCAAGCCTTGTCCTGTAGCGCCACCGCCCACCGGGACTAGCAGGCATGCCCGCGCCCTTGCCAACGTCGTCATGATACTACTGCCGCATTGCTGACTGTGTACTGCTGTGCTGCTGCAGATGGACATGTCCAGCCAGTTGGATCCCCAGGCTTTGGCCGCGTTCGTGGACGACAGTGTCTTTGCTCAGATGAGCGGGAAGCTTGGAGCAGACGCATCGCCAAAGAAAAATCTTTTCGTTGCGTGGATGCTGGACAACTATCCCAACAAAGCCACACTCCTACTCGAGGCCTCCCAGAACCGGATACATGGATTGATACGGGTGAAGATCAGAGAAGCATACGGGCATACACGCGTGTCTC